ATATTCCAGGGCTGATCCAAGTGAAGTCATTATTTCATTAACCATGCTTTTTCTAAAGTGCCTGCAACTGATACAATGCCTCAATACAAACCAACCCGGGGGCAACATTATGCCCAAGAAGTCCCCACCACTCTTCCCTTTAGAGGAAGGTCTTTCCTTTCCTCTAGGACCATTATTTCTTTTTTAGTTACTAGGAATATCACTTCCTAGTAGGGCTGGTTTTGTTTTATTTTGATTGATGTAGTTTTAGGCACCTCTGCTTTTTGCAGTACTGCCTACACAAAGATACATTGAAAGTAACCTCTGACTTTAAGGAATTTACATTTCACTTGGGGAATGTGTGGCACACATTAAGATACATATAGGTATGTGATCATTCAAGCAGGGAGAAAGCACTACCAACTATACTATCAGGAAAGGATTGTTGTAGAAAGTGGCACCCATCCTGAGTTTTGAAAGATAAGTGGGTTTCTAAGAAGTAGATTAGAGGAAGGTGTACAGTTAGGACGGTGGGGACAGTCTCAAGATAATTTATTTTGAGTAAAAATAAATGTTCACTCTGGGGGAAAATCAGTTTTAATTTGATGGTGATGAAAGAGTTAATAGAATGATTCAAAGACTTTTTTTTTTTACAACATTTTCTTCATGTGGAAAAAAATTCTCCTCTGTGTCTCTATGTTGGCCAATGCCAACAGCAGTCAAGATGGTTGGTGACTTGTGCACCATCAAATAATGGAGGAATTCCAACCTTTGTGCTAATTATCTGTTTCCCTGCGAGCAGCCAATTTGGAGGGATTGACTCATTCATCTCTTTACTTTTTTCTTTAATTCACCAAGTACTTATTAAATACCTTCTATGTGATGTTGTCATAGTTTTAGAGCGAGAGAGGTACTCAGAGCTCATCTAGCCCCATACTCATTAAAACATCAACAAAAAAAGAACTTCATGGATAGCTTCTTTCTTCCATCTCTATTTTCCCCTGCTTCACACCTCCCCAGTCCTAGGGATCTATCCCTTATGACAAATATTTTCTGAGAGAAAAAAAATCATAAAAACAATACTTTAAATATGTTTTATATATAATGTTTCAAGAGTATGGACTCCCCACTCTGCAAAGAAACATGGAGAGTTTTCTTCTCTAATCTCTTCTTTGGAGAATCTTTTCATTTTATAGATAAGGAAACTGAGACCTAGAAAGCTTCAGTAACTTGTAGTCATAAGCAACCAGACTGGGATTGGAATACAGGTTCTTTGACTCCAAACCCATTACTCTATTCACTTACTACACTGTTCCAGAGAGTCAGTTGGGTTCTGGTTTAGACCTGGTTTGTCTATACAGTGACATTTTTTTCAGTTGTTTACAAATTTCTGACATGTACCCTTCTTTCCTGCCTTATGCTGGAAAATGACTTTCTCCTTTGGCACCCAAGAGAAAGTGATGCAAGGGTATGTTTAGTCTGGGAGTAGTGCCATACTGCACTTATTCATTGTGCCTCTGCAAACATGCTGGGGGCTCCTGAGCTTGACCAGGTGGGCAGATGACATCCAAAGCAAGCTGACAGGTATGCTGAGATCACCTCCCACTGCCCTGTAACAGAAGTCATCTACCATGTTGCCCAGCAAGAAAAGGCTAAAACTCAATAACTTTGATACAACTAAATTATACCAAATAAATGAGTACAGTGTTTCTGCATAGAAAAATCCAAAATCCCAATATCAGGCTATGATACTACTAGACTGATGACCTGCATGCCTCCCTCCTGAGGATGTTCCTGGGAAAGCAAGATTGCCTTTACCTCTTTCATTTGCCTCTATTCAAGTGTCCATGCTCAGAGTTCCACCAACTGCCCACTTACCCCGCACACGTTCCGGCCATTTTGAATAGAAAGCCCCATAGGCATCTTCAATTCCGCCCATTTTAGCCAGAACTGATTTCGTTTTCCCGAAATCCCACGCTATTTCTGAACATCCTGCTTTCTGTCAATGTCCCAGCATCCTTTGAGTCTCAATATTCTTTCTCTGTCATCTCATATATCTAATCTGTTAGCAAACTTTGTTATTTCCACGTCAGCAATATGTTGATCCCCTTCTCTCTACTCACATAGCCATCTACTCATCTCTGATCTGGACTATAGACTTTTAATTGGTTTTCTTATCTTGATTCTCTCTCTACTCCAATCCATCCACCAAATGGTGGCCGGGATAATTAAAAAAAACACAAAAATAATAATAATATTTCTGATTTTGGCATTTTCAGCTCAGTAAACTCTAGTGTCTTCCTATTCTTTCTAGGATCAAATGCAAACTCCTCTGTTCAGCATTTGAAGCCCCCCATTTTCTGGCAGATGCCTTTCTACTGTATCACTAGCTAGAATCCTAATTCACCAGCTGGCTCTACATTACCTTTCTAGCATACCCCTTCATCCCTCTAGGGCAGAGATCACCTGGCCTTCTCATTCTTCTTCATACAAGACATTGGATCTCTCATCATAGTCTAAAACTATTCCTCAGACCAAGAAAGCCCTTAGGCAATACTCACATTTACACCTTAGAATCCCTTGTTTCTTTCAACCATCATCTCAAATACAACATTCTCCATGAAGCCTTTCTTAATCTTCCAGCTGCCAGTGGCTTCTCTCCCCAAATTACCTTGAGAATAGATGTTTTATACACACACACGCACACACACACACACACACACACACACGTATGTGTATATGTAAGTGTATTTATAATATAAACACACACATATATATATATATACATACATACATTTGTACAAGCTATTTGCTGTAGTGGGATGTAGTTCCTTGATGGCAAGAACTTCCTCATTTTTGTCTTTGGATCTGAAGAAAAGCTGGATGGACTAAGAAGTGACTAATCATTGTCATTCATTTTTTCCAGCATTTCTTTTTTTAAAATTTATTTTATTTTCAATTCACAGAACAAGACCAACTGTGATTTCCGCAGTTACTTGAGATCACAGTCCCAGAAATTACTTTGGCCTCCCTTTGTCTCTATTTTGTATTTACTTTTGTTCATGTTGCCTCCTTCTTAATGCTATGCTGTGTGACCTCTCTAATGACAAAGACTTTTATTTCTATCTTCTTGGCCCCAATGCTTTCACTTTGTGTGGTATATAATAGGCACTTAATAATTTCTTCTTTAATGAATGACTTACCATTTCCCTGAGATGCCTACACATTCTCACTCAATAGTAGCTTAATAACAATCAACCAATTATAAACAAATGACATTTGGAGAAAATTGGATCATTGCAAATAACAGTGAAACCCATCTGTGGAGAAGAGTACTGGGGCGGGCAGGCAAGTGATCTGGAATGAGGAACTCAGAAAGTCAGACGGAATTGAACCGACTGGTTGGCAAAAATCAATTACTTCCAAAAACCAGAAACACAAATGGGAATGTAGTCTATTCTAAAATGTCATAACCAAAATTGAAGCACCTGTGTTCTTTATGCTGGACCACTTGGGCAAAGTATACTTACTCTATCAGGGCAAAATCTGGTCAGTATAATATTATATATAAGTATAATAAAGAATTAAGAATTCCTATTATTTTTAATTGTGTTAAATCTTTCCATTGGTGCTACTCCATAACTACTCCTCTTTCCCCCTCCCACTTTTCTTATGCCTTCTTATCCCCATTTTGGTTAAGTGGAGCTTTCTGGCTGAATGAATGCCTGTCCCTTCCTGGACTGTGAAGTATACATGCATATTATCAAAGTAAAACATATATCCCTTTTCATTTTGTGAAATGTCCAAAACAGACATATTTTTAAGCCCCCACCTTTGGGAAATAGGGTTCAAGATTTAGCACAAAGTCATTATCATGTTTTTGTCTGTTCTGTCACCCAGAAAATTCATCCCAAAATATTTGTATTACAGAAATATTCAGATATGCAATGTTAGAAACAAGAACCAAGTGAAAAGGCTGACCCTAAGCTGATGTCACTAGAAATGTGATGGTAATAATTTCTATTCAGATCAGCAGAACGATTGGCCCATGGCTCTTGTTTTTTGATCTGAACGAGGAATCGAAAGCCACCTGATTACTTGAGCTAAATCCTATAGAAACTGCTGGTGCCCATACTGCCATGCTTCACAGGGTGTTGTGAGATAAGCCCAAAGCTGGCATAATGCTTGGAGATCCTGCTTTGCAGAGAGCAGCCCAAGTGGGGAATGGTATTATTCTTAGTAACACGGTAGCTTTAAGCATGCTTGGGTATCACCAGCTGGCTTAATAGCCAGAGAGAACAGCAGGGCAGTGGGGGTGTATTGGGCTAAACACAAACCACACTGGCAGTTGCTCAGATTGAACCAGAGGCTTGCATTAAGGATGGGGTCCTGGCTTGAGGAACAGCTTCCAGGAGGCCAGAAATCAATGGGCTTTAGATAAAGGACACAGGAGGGAGGGAGAGTCACTGCTTCTTCTTCTTTCTCTTATTTTTTGTTTGTTTTCTTTTCTAGCCTCTTTATCATTCTAGTGCACTAAGCTTTGACAATAAATTTTCCCAATGAACACACCAAGGTCCTATTTCCCTTTGTTAATCAAAGATTAGCATGGTGTAAACAAAAGGGTGCTTTCTCTGCCCAGATGAGATTCAGATTAAAGCCTGGGGAGTGAGATGACTCTTAATATCCTCTAAATGTTATGCTATAACTCTCCAATAGTTCTAGTTTTGTATGAAATTGAGTGTGTGCATAAATCTCTATGTGCTCATATGTGTATGTATGTAAGGTACCAGTTGTAAAAACCTCGAGCCTCATCTTGGAAAAATCAGAAACCTCTCTGTAGTGTAGCTCAAGTCAGCTTGAAAGGCTGCTGTTGAAAGCAAAAAGGGGAGGTCTGTGGAATCAAGAATCAGAAATGGTTGGGACATGGGGAGGTTCAAAATCCAGCTACACAGGCTAATTGTGCCCAAAGAGTCTACTGTCCTTCAAGCCATGAAACTAATTGTTGAAATTTCTGTTTCCAGTGTGCATGTACAGAGAGCCGTCACTGCATGAAATTGGAGAAAAGCAAGGACGTTCCAGGAAAAGTTCCGGGACACCTACGATGAATGGAGGGAAAGTGGTGAATCAGGATTCCACATAGCTGAGAATGCTTTCCTTCTGTGCACACTCCTCCCCTTCCTCCCTCCCTCCTCCCCGGCACCCCATCCCTTCCCAGTACCCATGGAGACAACAATACACTGACCAGGCAGGACTTAGGGGCTAGGATTTGGAATGCAAAATCTGTGCTTGGGGAAGATGATCAAATTCAACCTCAATCTTGCCTGTTGCAATGTTGTAGAAACATGAACACACACACACACACACACACACACACACACACACACACACACACA